CAACGTTTTGCTCATTTTTTGGTTTACTTCGACTCGCCGAGGTAAAACAATGCAATCCACGTGAAGTTCAACGAAAATTTCTTCGCAAGCTAGAAAACTCGAGGACGAATTGCGTCTGCTTGGGTGAGTTCGGGGGATCCATGTCATCGTCAATGTTGACGTGGACATTATCGTCACAAACTAGTGCACACAGCATTTTTTTTTTGTTTGCATTTGAAAAGGTGTTCAACTTCGTCACATTCAAGACAGACTTTCGTCAGGAAGCACTCCTTGGACTCGCTTGTGTTTCTTCAGTTGTTAATTGGGAGTGACTCGCATCGGAACTTACCTGTACGCTGTGATAACATTAGTCCACACCATGATTGTGGCAGTCGAGTCCACATTCCTCAAAGTGTCCCTCATCTTCATCCTCGTCGTCGTCGACTCCGTGTATCCCTCGTTGCCACCACTGTCATCGTCTTCACAAGGTATGTTCTTATGCGACAAAAATCCCACGTATAACATTGTTATCATGTCATGATCAACTGTAAGGAATAGTGCGGAATGATTGCTCTCGATTCGTGTACATTAAAGTGGAACACTCTCCTCGTTAAGGCGCCAATTTTTGCAGTTACCAATTAATTTTTCAAAACAAATCTTCCTTAATGATGATATAAAAATAAGCATGCAAAAATCATTCAGGAATGCAGCATGTTTGCTCTCAATCCCTATGTGGACTATATAGAACCATGGCAATACTTATTCAAGGTCGATTTTCCTTGTTGATACTTTTCCAATTCATCGTTTTCTTTGATCACATCTCGGGTGCATTTGTTACCGAAGAATGTTGTTTGTCCAGGCATGTCTGCTGCTAAAATAATCCAGGTTTGATTAAAGAAAAAAAAACCACTCCTGTCACATTTTTCATTTACTTACTACTTACGTTTTTCTTGGGTGATTTAAAAGTAGGTTACCTCCGGACCGTCGTTACCCTTTGGAAAAATAAAAAAAAAGTTTTTACTAGGTCGACTTACTTGTTACAAGTTGGGCCAGAACTCCACAAAGTGGTTGGAAAGAAATATTGAACACTGTAAGCAGCCTTTATGAGGCCAGATCCTCCTTATTGGATTCCCTTCAAACCTTTAGGTTTAATGATCTCAACACGAACAAACTCAACAAGCAGTCAGACAATTCCTCAAGTCCAAGACTTCTCATACACACACACACACACACACACAATTTATGCAAGGAATCAATTTACACAAACAGGGCACTACAAGAGTCCTCTGGGAGGTCCTTTCTGTGGCAGGCAAAGTTAGCAAGTGTCTGTCTCTGGGCACTGCTGGCTTCCTTGAAGAGTTTGGCCAGAAACGGTCAGGATTAAGGTGAACTTGTTTAACCCTTGGGCGGCAAAGTCGGACTTTTTTTGCAAAATTTTGTGTCTCCTCAGGTCAAATTTTAAAAAATGCAGTCCAGGGAGTGGATGGCAAAGTCGGGGAAAATCCCAGCATTTTTTTTTTTGCTCTGAGCAGAAAATGTTTGCTGAAAAATGAAAAAAATGTATCCTCAAGGCTGAGGCTTTTTTTTTCTGCCCTGAAGGTGTCTTGGTCCTTCCTGATTTTCCTAATCCTCTTTCCTCTGTAGTGTAGAAAAAGTTTGATACTTTCATTCAAAAACACTTGCAGTATTCCTCGAAAAGGAATTTGTGAGACAGGAGATTACAGCCATAGAAGCAGCACTGAAGAAGATTTAAGAAGCATGAAAAAAGAAGAGCTGAAAGAAATAAGCTGAGGTGGAACACATTTTTGGAATGGTTTCTTGTATTTGCTGGATTCAGGATCTTATCAAAATAATTCCCACAGTTTTATGAATAGAAACAAATTTTAAAGGGCTTTGTGGCTTTCATTTTTGGCTGTGAGGCAATGCTGCTAGTTTGGAGGTCAATCGGAAAAAGTCCGACTTCAGAAAATTCAAGAGACCCAATTCCCCTGGATTTTCTCCAACTTAGCCTCACCCAACTTGGCTGGGGTTTTGTGACCTCCAGAAAAATGAAAACTCAACAGCATACAAGAAAAGTCCTACTCAGCTTTTGGATGGGAAAGAACCCTTTGCCTTGGAAGGGTTAAAGGCATGGTTTGCCATTCTAATGTTCAACCAGGAAGGTAGCAGGGACTTCTGCTAATCTGGTCTGTGCTTGCTGAGGAGTTTTTTCTGTTTTCCACAAAGATGCTATGATTGGGGCTAGGGAGTAGCCTTGGCGCAACCTGAAAAATGTTGCCTTTTTAGAAATAAGTTTTTTGTCCTTGATGTTTCTAAAATCAGGACTTGTCATGAAATACTTTGTGACGTTCCCTTGCACCTTAGCAGACAATGCTTTGTGCAGCCAAGTACTTTCTGTTTCCCATCCTTCTGGATGTGCTCTGCTGCCAAGTCACTTGCCAAGGGTTACACAACCCTTCCCAAAATAAGGTCAGATCCAAGTCTGACCACAGTTGCTCAATTCTGGTTGACAGAATCTATAAAGTTGCCTGTTCATGATGGTACGTGCACTCATTGCTGTTTGGTCTTCACTATGTTCCAGTTCTGTGGTACATTTTGTTGAATACCAAATAAAGCTTGATCTTTTATAGAATTGAGGAGTTGCTGAATCCTCTGGGCAACAGGAAACAAGAAAATCTCCTCACTAGGAATGTTGTCATATTAACTACTTAAAAGAACATAGGAAGGTAAGTTCACTGAATATAAATTCTTGGTGAAGTCTGAAACTGAGTATTGACAAACATTGAAGTGGTTAATATCTGACAACAGACTTCTCCTTCATAACATTTCTGGTGGCTCTTGATCCTACACCAGGGCAGATTTTAATGCATACACACACACTTGCTAAAATAATCAATGTTCAAATATGATATACAGTGAGACCTTAATATACTGACACACTGACATACAGAAAATTCAGGGGGACACTAGAAAACCAAAAAAAATCAGGCTCAACATCTGGATGAGATTAGGAACACTTTTCTGAAATTTTCCAAAAAATTTGAAACATTTGTAATTTAATTTTGATATATTTTGAAGGAATCAAGCTGTTTACAGTATATGCACAAAAAATGAAAAAAATATTTCACTATAAATTCACTTCTATTCATAATCAAACGCCAGCTGATTTTGGGCTTCCTTTTTTGGAGCAATTTCTCATCTGTGCATATTCGAGCACAAATTGTTATTTTTCTTTGCTTTTGATCTCCCTTTGATACAGAAGAATCAGATGTGGTTTTGTTCTGCATAGCTGTTTTCTACAACTTACCTTGAGGGAAACAATTGTTATTAAATGTTCAGAGGACTTATATCTAATTTTTGCCCAAAAGGAGAACCAATTTAATACATTAGCATTGAAGAATAAGGGAAAATGAGACTCAACTTAAGGACATTTCAGCATCAGGACACTCTTGATGCACCACTTGCTTCAGCATCTTGGGTCTCACAGTAGTTTTCAGATATATGCCAGAAAGAAAAGAGATGTACCCAATACATTCTCATCTAATGGAGGCATGACCAAAATTGGAAACAAATGTTTTTTTTTTAGACTGATTTGATGGATCTATGCATTTTTTTAAATTTTGTTTTTGCACAAAATTATGTGTTCAACCACAGACAGTGATGGCCTTCATCAACCCCTGAGGCAAGGTGACAATGACTCAGCTTCCCCAAGGATTTGGTATGGATCAAAAGTCGATGATCGCAAAGATGTTCCATGGTTGGGGTGCTAAAGGACGTTTCCCCAAGGTAGTAGGACGCCGCGGTGTAAGTAAAGCTTCCTCAAAGAAGAGTGCCGACGTTCAACGCAGCACCATGGTAGATGTGACACTCACGGAGTCAGTTAACAGGAGGTGCTTTTTCCACAGACTTTTTTCGAAATAAACAGAAACTCCTACAGAATATTTCTTTTTAGCTTGGTCTGTCCAGGATATAAGCAGATTTCACTCTTAGGAAGGGGTTCCCAATTTTTCGTCTCATTTTAGCCAGGATGTGATTCACAGGGAAATAAACTTTTGCTGGGCATTCAGCTAATGGTGAGACTCCAAGATGCAGATGTGCAGTCAACCCCCCTTAAACCGCCACCCTCTGTTACTGCCAACTTTTCCTCCCAAACAAATCTCCCTAATTGTAAAGCCTAAGGAGACCCCCGTTAAGCCGCCAACTGCCATCTGCCAACTTTTTTTGAAGAAAAAACTGGATATTTGCATTGTTTTTTACCCCGATAAACCGCCAATGTTTTTTCCTCCGTCCAAGGCAATTTAATTTTAGAATCTTATCCAAGGTGGCATGGCCAGAAAAAAAATCACAATTCATTATTCAGGAATGAGCACTCATTGAACAAATTTGTAGATAAAAAAGATGTAAATTTTAGAATACAAGTGACATTGTGGTTGAACATTTTAAATATAATTTCATTTTATGAATTTCCTGGTGAGACAGAACAGATTGACTTTGTGCTCAACTTGTATGCCAAAAATAATTCCTTCCAGCCTATCATTGCCCCATGCTCCCCTCCACCTCAGTATTTGTGTACAGAGTTTCATTCAAGAGAAATTGGAAAAATGGAAAACTCATCCACCCCTCCCTATATTAATCAAATCAATTTAAATTAACCTGCCCCCAAATAATCCAAATTTAAGTACAGTAACCCAATTTGTGTACAGAGTTTCATTCAAGAGAAATTGGAAAAATGGAAAACTCATCCACCCCTCCCTATATTAATCAAATCAATTTAAATTAACCTGCCCCCAAATAATCCAAATTTAAGTACAGTAACCCATCCTAACTAACTTTGTAAAAATTTCTCTTTAAACTCAGCATACAATTTTTGATTTGCTGTGTCTTAATATGTATACAATGGGAGAGCTCCCAAGAAACAAAGAATGACCTGGCAGGTGGAGAAGGGTGGGCATTGGAACTTTTTTTTTTCAACAGGGGCACCCTCCCTTGATAAACAGCCAACCCCGTTAAACCGCCAAAATTCTGCTGCACAAACGTTGGCGGTTTAACGGGGTTTGACTATATGTACTTTAAGAAGAGACATTTCTCATGTTGATCACATGGGGTGAGGTGAGAAGAGGAGTTTCAAAACAAGGAGACAGCTGTTGGTGAAAAACATTGTATGCCTCCTTTGGACAGAAAGCAATTTGGAAAATTGAGGTTCTCAAAGCAAATGTACATGTGTCCTGGATAACACATTTCAGGGTCAATTTATTTTCCTTCCAGTGACAAAACAAAGGTATCCATGATTAGTTTACTGGTTGATCCTTTGATCTAGCTGCATATTTTAGGACAGGGTCAAACTGAGGGATCTTATTCCTTTGTATTTCATGCTTTAAAATCTTGTTTTAAAATTTGTTCTATTTAAAAATATTTCATTCTTTATTTTTCACAGAGAGGAGATACTTTTGCATGATCCGACGGGTAAAACAACATCAGCTTCATTGCTAGGAGAGATCATCAACGTCATTGCCCACGAGCTTTCTCATCAGTGGTTTGGCAACCTTGTCACACCCAAGTGGTGGACAGACCTTTGGCTAAATGAGGGCTTTGCTACGTATGTGGGCTATCTTGGTTCACGAGAGGTAAAAAAAAAGCAACTTTCAAATATGAATAAGGTTGGACTTTGGTTACAAAATTCTTCTGTTGAAAAAACTTTTCTCGGGTTGCGCATGTTTTCTCCTATGAATTCCCAACAAAAAAGTTTAATATGGTTAAATCTTTAAATCTTGTTCAAATGAAGCCATTAGTTTTGCTATAACGGAATTCTACTGTAGAGCAACCTGGAAAAGATTGACTATTAAAACAGCAAGACAGTCTCATTTCTGCCATGTGCAAAGAGCAGGTTAATACAAAAACTGGAACTTGATTTTTTGGCACTGTTTTGATCATTGGATTCATCACATGAAAAATGCATTGAAATTGGTAGTTACTGTAGCATGTTCAACCGCACTCAAGTGTTGCCAGATGATGTGGCTATGCAATTAAAAAAATTTCAAATGGTTGAAACTCCATATTGGGCACTAAATCAAAAAGTTGCAAGACTAATGAACCAATCATTAAAAATATTTTTTTCTGTGAAGTCTCCAAAAACTCCCCAAGTGGAAACCTCCCTAAGTAAAAATTTTTTCCTGGTCCCTTGAAATTTGACATAGAGAGGTTTGACTGTAATTCCAATGCAAATCTCAAGGGAATCAAATTTTATAATATGTGACATATTTAGGAGTCAAAGAAAAGCCAAAAACACACATATTTTTCAAGTCTTATAAACGTCGCTGTTTTTTAAAAATTCGACTTCGTGATGAAGACATTTAAACAATCATGCAGTTATTTTACAAATTTTTTTTCATGCTTCAGTCAAGAAAGAATTGGAAATGGATGCAGATGTTTATCGTGTCCGAAGTCCAAGACGTGATGAGGGTGGATTCTTTGGAAAGTTCTCACCCAATTTACCAAGAAGTCTTCAACCCAGATCAAATCGTGGAGATGTTCGATGATATATCCTACGGCAAAGGTGAGATCAACCTGGAAGAAGACCAGGCCAGAGGTTTAAGCCGGCTTCAACCCTTGGGGAATTTTGACCACCACTTTTTTGAACAATGGGGGCCAGCTACCATAGTTACCAAACTTCTTCTTGTCTAGTTCTTTCCTGCTGAATTGACCAGAGGGAATTGGGGTCAATTAAGCAGGATTTTGAAATGCACATTATCCTTGAACTTCTGCTGCACCTGCACTTCCAGCCTCAACATTTTCGCAGCTCTTGAAAATTTTAAGGAAAACTTTAACTGTGGACTGTACAAAGAAAGTTAGTACTATGACTTTCAACCCTCCTGCTACTAACCGAATTCGATAATTATGGGATAAGAGTCTGAATGGCACCTTGCTGATCTTCTCCTGAAAAGGAATGCATTTTTGATGAGCCTGTGAACCATCCCAGGACAAGTAAAAACAATTTCCTAGAAACTGGTCAATCTTGACCTCCAGAAATAATCTTAAGAATCAATCTTTTCTCTGAACAGCTATTTTTCTCCTCATTCTGAATTGCGCAGTTGATTTGAACTGATTTCCAAAGAGAGCAGTTTGCAATTTGCATATTTTTCACAAGTGTTGTTTGAAATTGTCCCTTTTTGAATCTAACCCAACTAATTCAATCTTTGAAAATGTACTTCTCTTTTTTTGCAATACAAAAACTTTTTACTAGGACAAAAGGTTCCAGCCATAGCCAAGCTGATTGGTTTGTTTTCTCATTCCATCTTCTGAGTTCTAGCAATTTCAGTACATCTTGAATTTCAATCCTTTAAGTTTCTCAATTTCTCAGCTGAGCCATTCTAGTTATTAGCGACTCAATTTTCAGCTATCTTTTGACTTTGTGAGCAAACCTATCACAAAAAGAAAGCTGCAATGAGCTCCATTTTTCTTTTCACCTTCTTGAAGGTTCTGCCATCATTTGGATGATGAACAACTTCTTGACAGAGGCAACTTTCAAGAAGGGCTTGATTTCGTATCTGAAAGACAAGAGCTTTTCCAATGCGGAAACGGAAGATTTGTGGAGGTATTTGGACTTGGCTGCTCATGATGACAAAAGTCTGCCTGATGATCTTTCAGTCAGTCAAATCATGAACGCCTGGACGAGACGCACTGGGTTCCCGGTTGTGACACTGACCAGAGACCCCAAGCACAACACTGCAACTCTTACCCAAGTAATTAGTGGGGCAACTGATTATTACTAATTTATTGTTTTATGCTGTGATTTTTTTGGTTGCAAAAATTCTGTTACAGAATTTTTAACCCAAATTTAAATACTGTACCTCCATAACTCAAAACCTACCCCTACCCCCCCCCCCACCACCCAAAGTCAAATTTTTTCAGGTCCCTGTCTGAATCCCCTTAGATACAATACATTAAAAACCTCCCCAAGTTGAAAGCTTTTCCCCTCAAACCTTCCCATGATTCAAATTTTCTGTGGCCTGTAGGCTATTATTTTCTTCACTCAACAGAGGAAAAAAACAATAAAAACAGAAATTGATGTGTTTTGAAAGGAAGTGAAAGACTTAATTGGGCAATAATGAACCCTTGCCTCCAAGTTCAACATACAGTAAACTCATTTAAGAAGCAATTGAATAAGCCCCAGAATATCACCATTCTCAACTTTGGCAATTCTTCAACGTTTCCCAGAACAAAAGGGCTTTGTTTTGCATAGCTCAAACCTCTATAATTCAAAACCTCTTTAAGTCAAATGTTTTTCAGGTCCCTTGAATTTTGAGATGTTCAGCATGTATCAATAAGAACAAGACTAACTTGAAGCCTAATTGTCAGGAAAAAATTCAAACTTCAAGTAATTCTTGTAACGATTTAAGGCGCCAGACAAAATTAGCAGTTAATCTCTTGACACATTTTTTCGTGAGCCTCAGGACCAAACCCAGGTTCAGCTCCCATGCTCACCCAAGGACATTTCCTCACTGCTTAAAAAGGGAAGAATGAAAGTGGCCAAAATCCAGCCTTCATTTCTAATCCAGAAAGTTGTTGTGGTTAACTAAAAACCACAAGTTTGTCACTCTGAGTTTTGCTGCAAACCCAGTTGGATCTCCAGAGAATATGCTCTTGTGCAAAATCACCAATTCCAAAATTTGTTACAACAAATTGTTGAACTTCTTGCAAAAAGTACTTTAACTAATTGTCTTTACTGTCTTGTTTGTGCCAATAATATACCATTTTATACTAGGATGAAAGTCCCGGCTGTTTAACTTAGTTCACATTTCTGCTAATTGCAAAGGTCCTGTCTTGAAATTCTTCAGGTTTTGAAGTGTCCAAATTTCAACTTTCAAATCTTCAGAAACAAATTTTTGTCTTTTCTGCCTTTTGTGTAGAGGAAACAGTTTTCCCTCACACTAATTGTGGCCCAAAAATTGTAAATCCGGGAACTGATGGAGAAAATGTTTAATATAAGAGTGATGTAATGGAATGCATTTTCATCCAAAAGAATGCATCAAATTCTTCATTTGAAACTTCAAATGACAAACTTTTGAATCAATTGTATTTGAAATCTTTTATAGCTCAAAAATGGTGAATACAGAAACTGGAGGGAAAATGGTTGTCAAGGCATGGAAATGGGTATTAAAGGGACAGCATAAAAGTAAATTTGTTTAAAATCTGTTCTATAGGGGGGAAATTTTAAAATCATTTTGTTTTGGGAAACCATCATGTCCTGAATATTTCTCATTCCTATAAATCTAAATATAAATATGTCTATGATCTATCTATAATTCTTCACATCTAAAAATAAGAAAGAGACTGATGTCAAACCTTCTGCTGCGCAGAGATGGTTAAACCCAGAAGCTGTTAGACAAATATTTTTAAAGTAAAATATGGATTAAATGAAATGCTTTTTCAAAAAATATGGAGTGTGTCCAATTGTTGTTGGAGGACATTTTGAAATACATACTTTTGAATGGAATGTATTTAAAACTTTTGTAGCCTAGAAATGTTACATCCAGTAAGTGATGGAGAAATGGTTTTCTGAGGGGAATGGAATATTATAATTGAAAGAATGTGTCCAATTCTTTGTTTGAAACTTTCAATAACATACTTTTGAATTGAACGTACAGTATTTAAAACTTTCTGTGTATATACAGCAGATATTGGAGAATTTTTTTTAATTACTTTCTCAGTAGTGAAAATGAATTTAAAAAAGCGACAGACAGCAGAGATAAATGAGTATACTGTATTTTGTAATCTGATCTATAGGGGGGCATTTTAAAATCATGTTGTCTCAGAAAACTGTTAGGTCCTGTACATAATTTGTTTCCTCAATTTTCAGGCTCGATTCTTTTTTCAACAAAGCTCCACGGACCAGAGTTCAGAGCAATGGTTCATCCCCATCAACTTCAACGCTGCCATTGGCGACTTCAAGAGAACCAGGGCCAGTCATTGGCTCAGACCAAATGCTCCTCTTACACTCACTGACAAGGACCTGGCTGCATCCAGTCTGGATTCATGGATCCCTGATCCTGCCAAGAATAACTGGGTTAGATTGTATTTGAATAATACAGTGTTCATCAAGAATTTAGAACAGTTTTGTGGGCATATGCCAGGGTTGTCCCACTTGGGCTTGAATTTAATTATTCCTAGAGTAATACTAAGACTGTAAGAAAAAATTTACAGTTTAGTCTGGCATGTCCCAAAGCAGCGCAGCTGATGCATCCAGCCTCAACTGGCTGAGAAAACTTGTTGAATATTGAGGCCAGTGAGCCTCCCCAAAATCCCACTTTTGTGAGACTCACTGACCCTCTCCCAAGGCCAAGAAGAGGTCATCACTTCTTTGATTTTCACTAAATTAGCCAATCCTGAGAAATCACCCGATTTCTTCCTGACACAGTCTGAGCACCTGGGTATAAAAGCCTTCATTCCTCTTTGAGAGGAGAAATGAAAATCTAGTGTGAAAGGGCATTTTAACTTAAATTACCTCAATCATTCTTCTGAGCTAACCAACCAATCTTACAATTGACTCTGCCATTCCAAGCAACCATTTCATTAACAGCCAAATTACAATCTGAGCAATGAGAATGAACTCCTGTGAAAATAGTTCAAGTTCTCATTCAAAACTTGCATTCTGATGGCTGCACAATTCAATTACTTTGTATGGGATCAAATGGACCCATGACATAGCCCATAATGTTGTAAGATTCTGGGATTTTTAAATTTAGGAAATTCCAATCCACTGTAAGATGTTAAGTGAAATTTTCCAGATATGTCTTAAGTTATCTCTACCCATGTCACAATGTGCACAAAATTTGTGGGTCCAGCTAAAAATTGAAAATATGTACTGTTTCAAGCATTATTTCTTCTAAATTTTAAATAAGACTTAAAACAGCAAACAAATTGCAATTTTCAGCTGGCATGACAAATTTATGTCCACAGTGCAACTAAAAAATTTAAGAATGAATACTTTTTGCCAGATGTACGCATGCTCATATAAGAATGAAAAGAATGGCTGTGGATAAAAAATAAATTAAAAAAGGAAGCACACAAAATCAGCCCCTGACAAGGGCCAATAATTTTTGGTAAAATCCCTACTTTAACTTTAAAATTTACTTCAATTGTTTCAACAAGGTTTTGGGATATTTAGAACAAGTTCAAGAGACAACATGATAATAAAAAAAAATCTCAGCAAGCTCTCAAATGTTTGGGCATGACTGTTGTCAGGAACAGCTCAAAGCAGACTGATGATGAAGAAAGGATAAACGGGGTTTTTATTAATGATTGTGACTGGCCTTCATCCAGTACTCAGTGTGAAGATCAGGCAATTTTAGAGGCATGGGATTGGCCAGAAAAGTCAAAGTCAATGATCATTCTGGGCTCAGAATCTCAGAGAACAAAAGTTCTTGAAGTTTTTAATTTTTTCTGGGGTCTCTATTTCCTCCAGGTTTGTCCTGGGGTAATTTTTCCACCCAATTTGTGCCTCCACTAATTAACTGCATAGCACACTGGCAGTGGGTCCTAAAAACCATCACTGAGTTAATATCAAGGGAAACAAAAGGAATCAATCCATGCAAAGCATAACAGATTTTTACTCTAGTGCAACTGTTTTGGTGCATTCAAATTTTTGCCATTTCCCACAATTTGCATAGGTTCCTTCACAGTGTGATCTTCAATAAGTTGTAAAAATTTTAGGATCTGTACTTTCAAGCACTTATCTTTTCTTATTTCCAACTTCTACTAAACTGTAATTTTGTACTGCATTTGTCCAATAATTTGAAGTTGTGAATCCCATTCTTTCCAGGTGATTGTGAATGCTCAAGAAACTGGGTATTACCGCGTGAATTATGATGCCACAAACTGGGCCATGATTCAAGCAAATATAGAATAGTATATTTTGGGTAATTTCTTGAACAACTATAAAACTCAAGATGATTTTGGTAAAAGGAAGTCTTGTTAAATTAGCAACAAGTTAGGCTTCCTGAGAAATAACTGCATTAGGGCTGTATTAATTATGAGGAGTGCTCAGAGAAGAAGACAAAAGTATTGAAGGAATCAAGGGCAACTGAGATTCTTTTTACCTTTTCAATTCATGAATCCAAAGCTTCATGAATACATTGGTTAATATGCAGTATTCAGAAATGCTTCATGAGCATTTCTATACACATTATATTCATCCAAGAGACATTTTCTCTTGGATCCTATAATAATGAAGAAATAGTGGCATGTGACATTTGTCAGTAGTAAAAGAAAAATACATGCTTTATTCAAATAAAAGCATCATGCATTTGTGTGGGTGACTTCCACAGAGATAAACAAAAGAAGGAACAGCTCCAGGAGAAAATCAACATATTTTCCTTGAAGAGGAAGAAAAGGGCAATTCAGCTGAGGGGAGAAACTATTGCAGCAAGTGTAAATTATGAGGAGTGCTCAGAGAAGAAGACAAAAGTATTGAAGGAATCAAGGGCAACTGAGATTCTTTTTACCTTTTCAATTCATGAATCCAAAGCTTCATGAATACATTGGTTAATATGCAGTATTCATAAATGCTTCATGATGAGCATTTCTATACACATTATATCCATCCAAGAGACATTTTCTCTTGGATCCTGTAACAATGAAGAAATAGTGGCATGTGACATTTGCTATTGTCAGTAGTAAAAGAAAAATACGTGCTTTATTCAAATAAAAGCATCATGCATTTGTGTGGGTGACTTCCACAGAGATAAACAAAAGAAGGAACAGCTCCAGGAGCAAATCAACATATTTTCCTTGAAGAGGAAGAAAAGGGCAATTCAGCTGAGGGGATAAACTATTGCAGCAAGTGTAAATGTTTCCAGGTTAACAGTACTTATTGTCTGATTGATTTTGTGAAGATTTCCTTTTTCAAACAAGAATGTGGGATGAGTTTAATTGTGCAATATCACAACTTCATTCATGTGTATTTTTGCTCCTTCCAGTGAAGTTCACTAATGCTTGATTGAATCTTATCAAAATTGAGAGATGATGAAGTTGTGCAAAATTTTAAGTAATTAGCATAGGCTTGGGGTTTTATACGGCATTTTCAGCAGAAATATATAAGATTCAGGATAATATTTGCCTTACTCACATCTTCAGCAAGGACTTAGTTTCTTTGTTGAAAATATGTACAGGCAAAACAAGTTTAGAGTCTTTCAGAAATCAGCTGACAAATATGAAATCGGAAAAAATAAAACTAAGGTATTATTCTTTGCAGACAGAACTATATAATGAAATAAAAATTAATATCCCAAATTGGTTCTTTCACATGGATGAGGACTACAGGAGACAATTTATTCAACATTCAATTACGGATTTGCATGGAGTGAGGATAAAAATGAGGTATAATCTTGAGGCAATTATTTGTTCTCAAATGAATAAACAGTGCAAGATATCATACTTTTTTTAAGAAATAAGTTTTGCTGTGTTCTTGGATGCTTTTGAAAATTTCTTTTTACAAAAATGTATTCGCAATCTAGGAGTACATGAAGACATTGCTGAATGGGGGACTTGTGGAATTTGAAAAGTTGGAAGACATCAAGCCAGAGTACATTGATGATGCAACACAGCTGTACAAGAATGTTCTCATTCAAGCGAGAGCATGCAAATACAATGTTGGCAAGTGCAACAGTGGCGCCAGTGCTCAATACCAGGAGTGGATGACCAACTACAATGAAGCCTTACCTGACAAAGCCATGTACAATTCACTTTACTTTTTTCAAGTACACATTTATTTTCCAACTTCATCATATGTGAGTTGAGAAGCTAAAAAGCACACATATATTGCTTCACAGTCACACAGTTGATGAAACACTCTAAAATATGTTATCAAAATTAGTCTCTTGAAAAATAAATTTTTTTCAAGATCAATCTATAATCAGATCCATTTGAATTTTCAGCCTATGCATCAATAGCTCAATTTTAAAAATATCACAATTTTGGAAGTGAGACCCCAAGATGTAGATGATGTAATTGGTGCATCAGGAGTGTCCTTAAGTTGAAATATCCCCAAGTTGAATCTTGTTTTCCCATACACTTACATTAAATAATTATTTCGGGTTTATGTAAGGAATATTCATCAGAATTCTGTGAAAACATTGTCTGATAATTGAAATTGATTCAGTGAATATCTTTCAACTCAAAAGGAACATTTGGTGTGCGGAATTTTCTCGCAGTCCCTCTATGAAACAAGGCGCCAAATTGGAGCCGAAACTGTAATCCAATCGGCGCATCACCGGGATGCGCCGACACAAACGAAAGTTAAAACCGATTCCCGCGAAAGGGGTATCCTAAAATAAAACGCGAAACAAATTGGCGAAACAAAGACCCCGAGGCCAAAAAAGGAGAGCGATCCCCGGAAACGGGATAAAACAAATCGCCGAAAAAGTCGGCGCC